TGTTTGTTACTACAATAGACTAGATATATAGGAGTACGTGTGTGTTGCTACAATAGACTAGATATATAGGAGTACGTGTTAGTTACTACAATAGACTAGATATATAGGAGTACGTGTGTTTTACTACAATAGACTAGATATAAAGGAGTACGTGTGTGTTACTCCAATAGACTAGATATATAGGAGTACGTGTTTGTTACTACAATAGACTAGATATATAGGAGTACGTCTTATCTGCGTTCGTTTCTGCTCAATGATAACTTATGCATCCTCTTAAACAACAACAAAACTGAAATTCGTTTTTGAATTAATATATGAATACTGTTTTATTAGATAGTACCATTGTGTGACTCTGAAGTACTTACCTTGAAGTAACGTTTTGGGTAATAATATCGCAGCATCAGTAACGGAAATATTCAACTTCCTCTCATCCTCCAGTACTGTAAGGGAGCTGTTAGTTATCGTGACCTCGGGAGAACCACTTAACTGAAGACCAACCACTAAGTTTGTGTCACCCGAGAATTGGGTAATCTTGGAGGCGACAAATGGGCGAACAATGCTTGCTGAATTTGTCGCATCAAGAACTATGTTGTTAGAAATGATTTCGAATGCTTCGACAAGTCTGTGAAAAAAAATCAGAAAATATTGAAAGATTATTTAATTTCCGGTTATATCAAGACAACACCCTTTATGTAAATTTGAAGGAATTTCTATACAAAAATGTACGTTTATTACAAGCTTCCTACGACAACTGCAATCTTTCAGATACAAATGGCCATTTATAGACGGTGAAAATTTGACATATTTCCATTTGATGAATTATGCGATGGAGTTTAAAAATTAACAAACTGATCTTTTTCATGTCATTTACAGAGCTCAGGTAAGTACTAGTCGTTATATTAGCATCTTTTTAGTTGTCTGTATTGACGTGTGCACGCTCACTTCTTATATTTCTATTTATTTCCACGTGCTCCCATTTACTGGTACATGTATAATAAAGACTCGCATGCTTCACGTGTTTTGCATGTTACAAGATTGTTGAAAACTAGTGCTCCCATGCATCGGCCGATAGCTAGAATTCGTTCTTGTTGAAAATCAAATATTTTGTCAGGTTATTTAATTTCTCATTTGATATCAAATAATGTAGCTTATATTAAAAAATGTAATTATAGCATGCTAAATATTTCGGTAAATCGATGAATTGTGTTCAAAAAGCCCAGAAATATAATATATGTTAACTATTTCAATACTTCTGTCATGCTATACTGTACCTAGTAAGTAGTCGACGATCATTTTAACAACTTTTGAACACCTGTCTCATTTTATTTATACGTTTGCAAATGTCTCCATGTATACCTCCTTTGTTCATAGTTGTCCAGTTTTATCAATTTTGAGTTCTACTTATGATTTTGTTGATACTTTGGTATTGACGTGGGGGTTTTCATATAAATTCATGGGGGCAAAATTCCATTTAACGACACATTAAGAAAACTATTTACATTGATGCTTCGAAATGTTTACAAATTACCAAGTTCTCTTTATAACGCAAGACGAAAAAAGTCAAAATGCATTAAAAACGTTTTTAAGTCAATCGCCAATTTGCCTTAATGACTCATTTAGAGAAATGTTTTACAATAAATCATTAGAAAATGTTAACAAATGTACCAAATTCCCTTAATTTTGCATATTGCGTTTTCCTTACATTTTTGTCAATTATTAAAGAAAATTCAAAGCCATTTCCCATTACCTGCTCGTGCCGCTTCCGGTATCCTGTGCCTGCTTCAATATGTCGTCATTTAAACCTATCATTGTATTAACGATATCTGCGGAATATTCGACACTCTGAAAACAAAAATTGCGGTCAGTATTTTGAAATTCGTTTCACGGATTTGAATCTATTTTATTCTTTATATTGTAACTACTTTCAGTTGACATTCATACATGTAGTTACTTCTTACTCGAAAAAATTGTTCCTTTTCAAAAGTTCAGTTTGTATTTGGCATTCATATTGACTATGAATGACAAATAAATATAACTTTCTGAAAAAATAATATCATTGAAAATTAATAGATTATCCCTAAAGAGTTATCTTTTCTATTGATGCCATCAACAGGTCGCCAAGCTCAGTTGTCAGTGAGTCGGTCTAATGACTGCAAAGCCAGTATAATAAGTTGGATCGGTAATAACACGTTTTGTATTGTAATGCTCAGGTTTTGTAACGAGCCATTGACAATTCGTACTCGTCAATGTAACAGGGTGGCCATATATAGCCTAACAACTGATTAGTCATCTTAATGAATGCTTTACAGTGTTAAACATATATAAAATGTCAAATCTATAATTCTAAAAGTTGAAATAATTGGTGAGTGCTATTTTACATTACCTTCTGGTCGAACTGATCCGAGGATTCGGCTACATTTGTCAGTATTGATGCCGTGTAGATCACGTCCAGACTCGTCAGGTCGTCGACACGTGTTAGATTGTACGTCTCCTCTAATATCGCTGTCGTGTTTGAACCAGTGATATTTGTCTGCATAAAGACAAGTCAATTCACAAGAATCAAGAATCATTTTAAAGTATTCATCAGCAGATATAATCTGATAACATTCCTAAAAAATCACCATAGATTAACAACACCAGGAAATAATGTTACTTGCCATTTTTCCATCCACTTTCCTTTCAAATCAAAATAATTTAGTGTTGAATTCACGTATATTTAATACATGTTGTACAATATACAGCTGTTTATATCTACCCCGTTCTGTAATCGTCCAGGATTATTTCAAGATACTTTTTTTTAAAGATAATCGAATGTAGTACTTTTACCTTTCAGAATGGTTTGAAATTTTCTGTTGTTAATAAAACTAGGAAATGTTTGAGTGTTCTATAACCACTTTGATCTCGATACCCTGAAACATGCACACACACAAGGTACTACACTTAAACTTGATAAGATGATTTTAATATTCATATGTTTTTCCTGTATATTATTACCATCTCCATAACATATTGAATGAAGTTGCTAAGTGTTTGAATTGAATCAGTTAATGATTTTCTATATATATCAACAGTGACCTTGACCTTGACCTTGGAACCCTGAAACACAACAATGTCCGAAGTATACTCATACTTGACCTTTGCATAAAGTTTGACCAAAATCCATGAAAGAACTAAGTTGCTTAGTGTTTATATTGAATCAGTTGATGATTGTCTATATATAGCAACAGTGAGCTTTGCCTTCACCTTGGAACCCTGAAGCACAAGGATGTCAGAGGTATACCCATATTTGACCTTTGTATAAAGTTTGACTAAAATCCGTGAAAGAATGAAGTTGCTAAGTGTTTGAATTGAATCAGTTGATGATTTTCTACAGTGACCTTGACCTTGACCTTGGAACCCTGAAACACAACAATGTCCGAAGTATACTCATACTTGAGCTTTGCATAAAAGTTGAACAAAATCCATGAAAGAATGAAGTTGCTAAGTGTTTAAGTTGAATCAGTTGATGATTTTATATATATCGCAAGTGTGACTTGGCCTTGACCTTAGATCCCTGATACACAACGATGTCCGAAGTATACTCACACTTGACCTCTGTATACATTTTGACCAAAATCTGTCAAAGAATGAATATGCTAAGTGTTTACATTGAATCGTGACGGGACGAGACGGGACCGGACGGGAGGGACATAAGCAACACTAAATCCCCCCCCCCCCAATTTATTGAGGGTTGTACCTTTGTATAAAGTTTGACCACAATCTGTCAAAGAATGAAGTTGCTAAGTGTTTACAATGAATCGGGACGGAACGAGACGGGTGTTTACATTTTATGGCGGGGCATCAAAACAAAAACAAAACTTGGTGCTTTTTACATTGGTCAATCTAGTAATAAACTCAGAACATGTATGAGTGTACATGTTACAGTGGTCAATCTAGAAATAAACTAAGAACATGTATGAGTGTACACTTTACATTGGTCAATCTAGAAATAAACTCAGAACATGTATGAGTGTACATGTTACAGTGGTCAATCTAGTAATAAACTCAGAACATGTATGAGTGTACA